GTGGAGTATTTCAACAGTAGTATCATATTGCTTCTTAAAGTAAGCAAGTGAAGGCACTGAATACTTCTTCCACCACGGGCTCTTAAAGCTTAGAGATGTTTCCACTCTCTCTGCAGTCACACAGTAAGTCAGCATTTCCAAACTTTGACTGTGCAAAAATAGAAATTAAAATATCTGTAGCATTATAGGATTACTTTCAAAGGATAAGCATAAAGAATGCTTCAGAAATAATGGTGTGCAATCAAAAACAGTCGTCTAAGGAAGCAGAAGGCCACAAGAATGCAGTTCAAAACAGGCCTATATTTCTAAATGTGCATGTAATAGGATCTTTTTTAAATACTAGCACGTGCAGATGTTACGGTATTGTTTGGTCTGTTCATGCTGTTGGCAAACTGTAATACTTAATCATATTGAAAAACCAGGGGTTGTAAATCTTATTTATATAAATAAGTAAAAGATAAATATGAGGTCTATTGTATAAAAATTAATCCCTGCAACACTCAAAGCCTGCTCTATTATATAAATCTGGCTGTAGTCTACTATTGTGTTGTCCATTATGTAGCCTCTTATGGCAACACAGTGGCATCAGCAATCACTATCTATATGTCATAGTTTTGTGCATGTAAATTAGATGTTGCTGTGCTGAATTTAAAATAAAACAATGATTTTTCGAGGTGTTATAGGTGCATGGACATTAAAAGTTATTCATTTGAGCCCATTGGTAGGTGGTTGCTTGGCAACAGGATTGCATCATATATGTAATATTGATAAGAACCTTCTGTGGCCGAAGAGGTACCTGTGTGTCGAGTTTGGTTGTTCAGCTCCTGATTGTGTTGGAGGAGTTTGTGGACCAACAAACAAACAAACAGACAAACAGACGTTTGGCCCATTAGGATGTACTTGGAGAAAACTGCGCTGTGAAAGACTGATGTGAAATATTCCAAAATTTTAGCTTTATTTATCAAAGATTGTATTTCACAAATACCGCACAATTGATGAAAGCTCACTCTGAACTGATCATAGAGCAACAAGTTGTGTTAAAGCAGAGCTGCTTTGGGTTATTGGTTACAGATATGTGGCAGCAGCTACTCCTTCAGCTAATTTTGGCACTTGTACTGGCAACTGGAAACGGCACTGCATAATTGGAACCACATAAATCCACAGTTTGATCATTCAGAAACAACATGATAATCACTCAAGCTCTTTGAAGACCATGCATAAGCACATTGTTCTCAGTAACTGAGAGCAATTCAAAATACTGCTCAAGTCGTGTCAGACGTGTCCTGTGCTCTTGTTTGTTTGGCTTGCACGGCTTTTAATCCTTCGTTTTTTGTCAGATTTTTAACAACAGGCAACCGTTATTTAGATGCTGCTTTATTTTTGTTCAGTGAAGTGTAGAATTGGGAAAAACACATTAGTCCACAATGTCAGACACAAGTTTCACCTTTCATTCTTCTGTCAGCTCTTCCTCTTTTTTAGAATTTGATTGTTATCTCAAACTGGGAGCCACTTATATATAACAACAATCGCTAAATACTTCCTTGCACTGCTCGCAATGAGGTCTATGCAACCAAAACTTTAAATCCTGCAGGTATTTATGCAACGTTTTCCACACTGAGACAACGTGCATACGTGTTCTGTGTGTATATGTGCTTGTAGCTAAGTCTTTGATGAGGTCCACTTATCATCTGTACAATTTTGCGTAGTTTGGTGCTGGCGCTTTTGATTCATTCCTCAATACAGTCATCTCCATAGTTGGCTGTCTAAGTGCTTGGTATTAGTAGGTTTCCAGTATCTCAAGCGGCAAGCACTTAGTTTTTGTCTCCTCCTTTTTGAGCCCAGTTATAGATCACTGTCGCATCTCCTCCCCTCCTGTATCACTCCAGCTGTATGAATCCCTTGCTGTGAACTCTGATGACTGTTTTATCATTGGTCTACCTCTTTGTGTGCTCTGGCTCTATTCACAATATAAAGGATTATGTGAACTAATAAACTACCTCCATGCAATAGAAAAGCTTGATCCCAGCAGCCTATAGTAGAAAGCCATGCTCACATTCCACTGCTATGTCTGTTTTCTTCCCTGATGAGGGACTTTGTTTCAGTTTCTCTTCTGTTTATGCAGCATTAATGGCTTTTGGGAAACGTCACATTCAAAATGAGTTACAATTTGCAAAAGCTGCAAGACACGAAGCAACTTTAATTATCATTGACATTTTTAAAATTGTTGGCTGTTACCCAGATCTTTTTATTATTATAATTTTTTTTAGAAAACACAATTTATTCAAATAAACATAAAAAAAGAATTTAAATGGAGATTTGTCATTGTAAAGATAACACACGTGTTGGGTGTTAATGAGATTCAGGATGGCCCTGTTTTACTGTGGGGAGTCAGCATGCATAATCACTAAAGTTGAAAACACAAACAGATAAAGTTTAATTATTTAAACTTATTGAGTCTCTTGCTTTAAGTCCTTTGGTTAAACCCTGCCAGTAGGGGGCAGCAGAACAAATGTATACAAATACAAAATATAAGTACATTAATCTCTATAAGTAAATATTTGCATGTTAACAGAGTCTGTATGAAAGGGACACAATTTATTGTCCTGTTTTTTAAATTTTATTTTGTAGTCTGATTTCTATTGACCAATCATAGTTGACAGACATCGACCCAAAGTCCTGAAACACTGGCCATTCAAAAGACACCAGACGCCAAGTAATCAGAAAACACCTGACAGTATTACAAGTCAAAGAAATTTAGATTTTCACATATACTTATTGACTCGGAGGGATTTTTCTAAGACATTAGGACATAAAACTGCTTTTTGCTCTCTATTTTTGGTCCCCACGATGAAGTATAGCGTAGAAAAGCACTCTATAATTACCAGACAATTTACTATTTGTTTGGCTGCTAAATTCTGCAGTAGGTTAGCTGCTTAACACACTAAATAACCAATCACAAGGCAGCAACTCAAACCATTTAGGCTTGTAGGGATGCTCAGAATAACCTGCTGAGGTTCAAGCTGAG